TTATAAAGTCACTCCGGATTATCCCTTATAACTGTGGCTATAGTTGAATTATATCCCATATAATTCTATTTGCAATAACGGGGTTTTTACAATAAATTTTCATTACCTTTCTAGTATTTTTATATGAATGAGAAAACAAAATCTATATCAGCCATATTTCTGTACCTAGTTACCTGATATCTCTGTTTAATTAACAATCCACATCCAGTTATATTTGATACTTTTCTGCTGCAGGGGTGGTGGAAAGCTTAGCAAGAGATGCATATTATCTTCTTTGTACTTTTTACTGTTATCCACATCCCTTTGTTTAAACCCGCCAACTTGGCATGTCCTGGGAAGCAAGCATTCCACACAGGACTATGCTATTCCAGCTCTGATCAGGTTTACAATGAGCAGAGGAGATGAGGTAAAAACACGTAGACCCCCAAGAATATACACAAGAAAAATACAGGAAGACGTATGCAGTAGTTATAACTCTACAGAAGTAAAACCATGTAAAAATTGATGAAATGCCAATGTGAATGGAATTGTCAGAATCAGAGGGTTACATTTATTGGTGAGTGATTGTTTTGAAGGGAAAGAGTAACTTGGTTATGAAGGAAAGGGCAGTTCAGACTGGTATGAACATTAACATTCTATGTTGAGAGCAGCAGCTGGTTTCTTTGAATCTGGTCATAAGCGAACTAGGCGGTAATGAGAGATGTCATGGTAATTAGATGTGAAGGTAAGAAGAGCCTTAGAACATTACTTATGCATCTGGATTTGATATAATTAGCTGATATAATTACATATAGTAATTAATTGATTTAATTATTTATAAGCTCAGGTTTTTGAGCAAGAGGTACATAAGAAAAATCATAATTAATGTTTTTTTTCAAGGCAAAGACTAGATCAATGTTTCTTAATTGGGAGTGAGTCTGCGCTCACCCCTCATCGCACCCCGCTCTGACGGGGTCAGCAGACATTGTTAGTTGTCAAACTAGGTGGCGGGGTGCCTACAAGCATCTGGTGGGAAGAGGCCAGGGATGCTGCTAAGCACACTGCATTGCACGGAACAGTCCCCCAAACAAAGAGCCATCCAGCCCCAAATGCAGCTGTACCAAGACTGAGAAACTCCGGGCTAGCTTAAAGCAGAGAAGTAAAGGGCTTGAATTTAAGCAAAAGGTCTAAGAACTAGGTCAGAGGCCTCTACATAGTCCCTTGTGTGACATGACCAATCTCTTCCTTCATCGTTACCCACAGAGATAATATGAAGAGTAAAGATAAAATCAGTTAGATTCAATTGCAGGAATATTCCGAAATTAATTTTACATTGTGTTCTTGTATTCATAATAGACTGTGTTTCTACCATGAATGTGTATGAATCTCAGAAACATAATGTTGAATCACAAAGCAAGTCAAGCAAGAATATACTCAGTATGATACCAGTTACAGTATATAAAGCTTGAAAACCAGCAAAGCTAAACAATATATTTAGTGATATATAGTTATATGAGTGAAATTAAGGAATGATAACATCGGTATCATTCAGGATAGCATTTATGTCTGCAAAGAAGGAAAACAGATTTGAAGAAAAGCACAGGGGCCCTTAAATATATTGATTATGTTCCAATTTTTTAGGTTAAGTAGTGGATTCTTGAATGAAATTATTGTAATTTATAATTTACATGTCATATATTCCCTTGGGTGTATCAAAGACCACATAAGAACAATCAATCATAAAATTCAGTTATTACAGCAGTGTGGATGGCGGCCACTGGTTTCCCCTTGAGTTCTGTCACCACCTGCAGGTTAATACTGGGTATTGCAAAGAACTGTCCTCAAAAACCACATTAATAAACATCAAAGTAAGCGAACTCTTCAAGGCATTTGGAATATAAACAAATACAAAAGGCTGGTTTTCTGCTTCAGCCATGCCTAAAATCCATTTGTGGACAAAGAACAGAGAGAACACATTAAGGAGATAAACCATGTAACACAAAATGTTATATTGTAAGGGCTCCTCTCTTAGTGTCAAAGCAACAAATGACATTTCATTGGGCAACAAATTGACTTCCTTTAGCATCAGGATCCAATGCCTTGACTTCGTTCTTCCTGCCACTGCTACCTGTTCTCCTTGTCTCTCCCTCCTCCTCTGTTCTCCCTGTTTTGTTCTCAACGTTGCCACTAGCCTGAAAGTTAATTAACTACTGCATTACATGAGGGGCCTCTCATGCTCTCCATCTTCATTTCCCCCAGACCTCTGCGCCCCATTTCATCCTACATAGATCCTGGAACGATCAGTATCTTTGAGGCAATATATCAGTATTTTCTCTTAATTCCTAAAGCACTTACTATCTGCTTCATTTATTTGCCATTTTCATATGCTCATACTAAACTGATTCATTTACATAAGGCTTGTTTCCTAAGTTGGGTAACTTTTTGAAAGTCTGGGATAATTTTGTAGGTTTGGGCTTTGTTTTCCTTTGTCCCCTACTAATATCTGTAATGCCCATATTTGAGTTTGCAGACCCCTTTTTAATGTAAAAATGTCTCAGACTCCTCCCTCCACCAAACAAACATAATACTATTTACATTTTTCAGGGTCCATAAATTCAAGAAACATAACCACCATACTGATTTCAGTAATGCTTTTGAATTAATCTGAATTGTTTCAATGATAATAGCTTCTACATGCTTAAAATATATATATATGACCCAAGTTTTGCTACCCCAAAATATACCTTTTAGGATATTGATTTTAGGCTGGTTGTTAAGAAAACAAGATTCAGAGAGAAACTTTGACCTTCCTCCTTACCTACCTGAAGGAATTCAGATAGAAAAACATGCTTAGCCCTGACCCTGTAGCTCATCTGGTCAGAGCACAGTCCCACTACACCAAGGTTGAAGGTTCAATCCCAGGCCAGGGCACACACAAGAGGAAACCAATGAAGGCATGAATGAGTGGAACAACAAATTGACGTTTCTCTCCTTTCCTCTCTCTCTTTCTCTAAAAATAATCAATAAAATTTTTTTAAAGAGGAAAAACCTAATTAAAGCATCATAATATAAACTAAATGTGGTAGACACCCCCATCCCCACCCCCAGAAATCCAGCAAAGCCTGGTTGTTGAACTTCCTCCTGTATACTCGTTTCTGGGTGGCCGGCAAGCATTTACTACATGTTTGCTCTTTCTATCTACCTCTAAGTTGTCTGCTTTCCCTTTGAAATTCTACACCACTGCCTCCCTCTCCTTTGTCCCCAATGGCATATAAATCTCAACGGCCCAATGTTTCCTTGGGTCTCATATTCTTATGCGCCCCCCCATGTATATCCAAATAAATTTTGGACATATTCTTTTGTTCATCTGTCAATTTATTAAATTTATTAGCCCAATGAAGGATTTAAAAGATAGGAGGAAAAATGATTTTTTGCACATCCCCCCATATAAAACAAAATGGTTATGATTTTGATAATGACAGCTAATATTTTGAAATCTTATCATATGCTAGTACTTTTTCCCAGGCATTTTCTTAGTTAATCTAAAAATCTCTCCAAGGAGTCAGTACAACTCAGATTAAGCCTGGGCTCCATCACTTGGAGTCAAGAGCCTTGGGGATTTATTTAACTTCTCATTTGTAAAATGAAACGAATGCACACTCAGTCCCTTCAGGATAGTCGTGAGATTAAGAAAATCACAACAGGTGAAATGCTTAATCCCGCCTTATACAAAATAAATACCACTTTAAAAAATCCCTCCAAGCTAGGCATTATTATTACTACCCCCCGCCCCGCCCATTTTACAGGCGGGGCAATAGAGGCTCTGAGAGGATAAGCAACTTGCCCAAGACTTTAGAGCTACTACTGAGTGATGGAACTAGAAGGGCCCAAGCCACGCTGAACAGAAAACACACACTCACTAGTCACTCTGAGTTCCCACAGCACTTCGTTGTCTTACAAAACAGAATTTATTTACATCATAGCCTGTTTCTCCATCATTCACTAAAACATATGCTCTTCAAGAGCAATGTTTTTGTTACCTAAGTAATCAGCAATGTGAGACACACGGAAAGTACTAAAAAATGTATGACAAAAAAAGTGTCAAAGACCATTGCACCGAGACTGAACCTGGATACAGTTGCAAATTACCGCAGGCTGGAGCTTCGTTCACCTGAATTATGCATTGAGATCGAGTTCTATTAATTGATTTTGTGAAGTTTGTTGTTGGAACCCTGATGTCCATTCTTCAGCCCTCCTTTTTTGCTTGAAACAAAAAATCCACGATTACAAACTTCATAAATGGAATGCCCTTGCATTCAAGTAAAATTGACTAGTTTTTTCCGGTAGGCACACTGAAAGCCTTAATTGTCCCTCTGTCGCATTTTTTGGTTTGTTTTACGAACCTGTCAATTTACTAACCTTAAAAAAGGCTGCTGCTGAAAGAAAAGTGTAAATTAAAAGAATTCAGTGTAGTTGTAGAGAAAATGTCTCGATACTACATTCTGGTGTAAATCATCTGGTTCTTCTAAAATAAAAGTAGGACATTAATCGGAGGTGGCGTTGATTATTTACATTTATAATTCTCCCACTAATGATATGGCTTCCGACCAGGGAACTCCCGTGGATGTAAAACTAGAACTAGCCTGTGAGGGCCCTTTTGTTTCCAACTCTTCGTGACCGGGATGTGGGTGGACAGGGACTACAAGCGCGATCCCGGACTTTCGTCTTTTCTTCTCCATCCGGCACCATCCGGAGCTAACACCCCCACGGAAAGCAGGAATGCGCCCCCGCTCTATCTCCAGCTGCCCAGGGTGGCCTGTCCACTTCCGCAGGCCTTGAGCTCATCTACACACCAGCCGAGAGGCGCACAGCATGCTGGGATTTGTTTCTTCTCCCACTTTGTGGACCAGCGGACGCTCCAAACCCGGTCCACTGGCATTCTGGGACATGTAGTTTCTGGTTATTCTTTGGCGTAATCGGCCACCCAGGAGCCAGGGGTGGTACCCAGACTCCGGCTGGTCACGTGACTGCAGTCCTGCGCGTGGATCGCACTGCGGCTCGCGTCCCGGCGAGTTCTCGCCTGCGCGCGGCCGTTGCCGCGGAGACGACGCATGTCTCCCGGGGCGCGTAGCCCCTTCTGCAGTCCCCCCTCCCCTTTTCTCCCACCACAATGAGATCCTAAGATGGCGGTGGCTGCGGCGGTTGGCGCCGACTGGCTGAGTTAGGAAAGGCGGCCATTGGGCCCGCGGCAGCCAGGGAACTTGCGGACTGTCCCTGCTGCGGTCTCCGGGGGAGGAACACGGTCGGTGGCGGGTTGTGGGGTCTGACCGTTACTCCGCTCTTGGCAGGAGCGGCTGCTTCGTTTACAGGTATTGCGTGCGCGTCCCCAGCCCTTGGCAACCGAGGGCTGCGCGGCGCCAGGGGCGGGAGATCAACCGCTTTGGGAGTCTAGCCCCGGGAGGCCTGGCTTCGGGCCCAGGCCTCGCTGTGGGCTCCTGGGTCTTCTCCCTGCCTACTTCAGGCGGTCCGCCCCTCGTCCGGACCGACCGACGCCATCTCGGGGTGAGCATCTAGGGACGCGTTAGCGACGGTGGAGCCCCCTTCTTGCCTCCCCGCCCCTTTCTTTTTCCGGCCCAGGGCTGGAGGCCGCCCTGCGTCCCGGGTGCCTAGGAATGTTCCTCGAGTGGAGGAAGAGGAGCCGGGCTGTGGTTTAGTTCCCAGAGTCAGGGGGTCTAGTTCTCCAAAGCAAGGGGCCTCCGTGGCCCTAGTCTCCGTCATTGCGTCCCCTCCCACCCCATCCTCAAGTTTTATTGTGGGGTCTCAATCCAGAATTCGGGGTGGAAAAGGGCGGGGAAGAAACGACGCTGCTTTCGGGGTGGGCTGTGAGCAGCGCGATTTCTGCTGTCGCGGTTGTTTGTAGAGCAGAAGGGTTGCGGGGGGCGTTTCTGACTTTGGCTGGCTAAGAGGTGCTTCATTCTTGCGAAGGGGTGTTAACTTACTACCTCCCCCCGTCATTGCTCTGCATCTCCCACCTTTTCTGCAGGTCCAGGTAGGATGGGGAAAACTAAACGCCAAATGCGACTTGGGAAACGTTGCTTGCTTTGCAAAAACGGGTGTTTGGGGATTACGTGGTAGCTAGGCCCGGGTAGGGAGGCGGGTCCTCCAAACTTTTCCTCCCGCGGCCCACTGCTCAGGAGCGCGCCTTGTCTGAAAAACACATTTTTATTTATTGACTTTTTTTGGACGAGTTTGAGGTCTGTGTCGCCTGTCTTACGGGTGGTAGGTCGTGTTTTGGCGCTGGAAGGAGCCGGGCTTTCTGGGCGCCCCCACCACCCCTGCCCCATAGCTGTTTTCCAGACTCCGCCTCCTGGTATTCTCGGGTTACTGGAGTGGGTGTTGTAGAGCTGGGGTGCACCTGCTTCTTTCTTTCCCTAGCACCTTCACGGTGAGAGCCACTGGAAGCCGTGAAACTACTGAGTTTCTGAACTGAAGGCCAACCTTGTGTTTTTACAACGATAAGGGTATTTTTAATGAAATAGGTAGCATTTAAATAAACCTCTTTTTTCCTCATCGGGTAGAGTTCTGGAATAGTTTGAATTATTGGAAATGAATGACTTCATCAATCTGAAGAGTGAACTTGGCATGGATCTTTACGTGATAATTGGGTTTAGCCTCTTTTTATTATATTCCAAAGTAGATAGTAAGGCAGCACATTATTGTTTGGAGGATTTAAACATATATGTACACCACATTGTCGTCTGAAAGGGTTAAAGTAAATTAAGTCTAAGATACTGATAAATTGAATTTTTCTTTTCTATTGACTTAATATGTTTTAGGTATAAATATAGTATTTGTTATTCTCTGCTTCATATTGTAAAGAATTTAATAAAGTCTTTTTTTCTTAAAAGCAGAAAACAACTTTGAAGTGTGAAGCAGAAAAAGAGCTGTTTCTGTGCTGCAAAAACTAGTTTCCAAGCAGGTAATTTGACATCATTATGTATGTTACTGTCCTTCGAATTATAGCTGAAGAAGACTTGAAGGTGGAGACAGCTAACAAAATACCAGTGCATGCCCTGGATGGTGTGGCTCAGTTGGTCAGAGCGTCATCCCCCATGCACAGAAAAGTCACGGGTTTGATTCCCGGCCAGGGCACATACCTAGGCTGTGGGCCGTGTCTGTGGTTGGGTGTGTGCTGGAGGCAACGGACCCCTGTTTCTCTCACATTGATGTCTATCTTTTCTCTCTCTCTCTCTCCCTCCCCTTCCCCCCACCTCCCTCCCTCCCTCCCTCCCTCTCTCTCTCTCGCTCTCTCTCTCTCTCTCTCTCTCTCTCTCTCTCTCTGGAATCAATAAATATATCTTGGGTGAGGACTAAAAAGATAAGGAACTATAAATACCAGGGCATGGTGGAGGGCCCTCTCTGCCTGGTAGACAGACAGTCCGGGTTTGCGGGCCCGTGTGCCTGCCCTCCCGCATTCCACTGCAGTCTGACCTCATGCTTCTGTTTGGAGGAGCCCTGTCCCTTCTAACTATTGAAATGTGGAATAGTTTGTGTAACACCTTTGAAATGTCTTTCTTCTCATGGAATTTCTTCAGACCGTTTGAGTTTGAATTTGTCCTAGAATAGATATTTGGATAGCCAAATCCATTTGTTCTTAAGTAATCTCTTTCACATTTACTATTAATTACTTTTATTTTTTATTCACAAGCTATTTTTTGAGCTTGTTATATATACTATTGACTAAAGTTTTAAATTTTTTTTCTTTTAGCTGTTTAAAATTATTTTAAATGTTAGTTTCTGTGCATAGTACATTATCCAGTACTGGTTATGTAGAGATACTCTCTGAGCAGTGGAAGAAAGTCTGTTTAACCTCACTGAGGGAAAGTTAAGTTTGCCAGGGACAATTTAGAAATTAAATGACTAACATGAGGATTAGAAGAAAGTTTTGTTAAGAAAGTTTTAGAAATAATTGCTCTTCTAGGAAAAATCTGAGTCCATATTTAATTCAGATAAAATTTGAAGACAGCTCATTTTCCAAATTTGTTTAGTATGTTCTTGCTTTCTGGGAAAGCAGCCAGCTAGATCTTCCGTTTCTTTATGGAATGAGATGACCCTCGTGAGAAAGTACAGATTGACAGTGGATTTATATCTTAGATTATAATTTTCAGTGGTATTTTTTAATTAGAAGACTGTAACACAATAGGATAAGAAAAATGGAACTCAGGAAGGGTCAAATGTGAGTGAGTGCATTACAGTTCTTACCACTGAAGTGTATAGATAGTAGGAGTTTGGTAGAATAAAAAGAATTGTAAAGTCAGGTATAAAGTAAAATAATTTCCCTTTTAACACAGGGAAGATGGATAAGATGAAACAAAAACATATGGCTGTTGAGCCAATTCATGTGAGAAGAACTTGGTTTTCTTGATAGGGGATTTGGCTATTTGTTTATGAAAGGGCAGGTTTATTTGAGATGTGGAAAAACATACAAAGTTTTTGGAATTATCATTCTAGGAAATTAAGTGAGAGGCAAATAAGGGGTACATAGCAGTGCATTCATCTTAACAAATTTAATTGAGTGCCTTCATGTGCTACCTAATGACTAAAGTACTGGAGATTTGGCAGTGAGCAAATCAGACCCAGTTCCTTACCTCATGGAGTGAATTTACATTTTGAAAATGTGTGTGTGTGTGTGTGTGTGTGTGTGTGTATACAGTATAGTATACCATGCTAATGGACACAGGCTGTGCCATTTTATAACTGTTTGCCCACTGCTTCACGGATTGGGGATAGAAGCAGAGACAAACAGTTGAGTTGACAGAATAGGCCAATAGGTGAGGAAGTTAAGGATGCTAACACGAGGCGTTTTGGGAATGGCCTACTTGGGTTGTGTCTAGAAAGCCAGGATGAGTGGAATTCTGGAGAGAGAAGTGACAGGGCCAAGAGCCAATGAGAGGGAGAAGTAAAATATAAAAACTTAGGGTAAGAAAGAGGGATTTTGGAAGTTCAGGACCTTGAACAAATTACCAGTTCAGAGTGAAAACAATATTGGCATAGAGAAGATGAGATGGACATTGGAACTGAGGCCAGTCTTAGGAAAATCATTGCTCACGTTCAGGTCATGAGAGCAGGGCATGCAGTGCAGAGTGAAACCATGAGCTACTTGTAAGCTCAAGATTCTCTTGTGGGGGACACAGTGGGAAAGAGTGCCTAAGGTGGGGAGGGTGGTGTTTTTGCTGGCTAATGTGTTCTAAAGAGGAGAGGTAAACAAATAATAAGGGTCTGCAAATGATGTCCTTTCCCCATGAATCTCTGAGCCTAGAAGAGTAGTACTGTTTTAGAAAGAATTTTCAAGGACATAGTGCTTTCAGAGGGATTTGGAATTTTACTGAAGCTGAAGAAGTAGGGGGAATGTTGGGGAACAGGTGGGGAGTGTTTGGGGAGTTGTGTTTGGAGTGGTCCAGTAGAAGTGACGGCAGGTAGAGCCGTCACCAGTGAGAATGGGATGAAGGGGCCTTGATGCTAGGGATTGAAGGAGGAGGGCAGCAGCGTGGCCTGATCTGCCTAGAGAGGTGTATGTAATCCATGGCAAAAAAGTGCCATAGATTTTGGGCATAAATTACAGAGCGGGAGAGGTCTTAGAAGCAGAACTTTGTGTATTGGAAAATTAATTGACTTCAGAATTCTAAGTTGTTTTTGTAGAAAGCAGGGATATGCTAAATTTTATTGGTGTGAAAATGTTCGACATAGAGTAACTGTAAAGGTAGACCTAATGCATACTTGGTACATAGTGAGTTCTAATCAAATGTCTGTTACTTCAAATTAGGTGTTGCACTCTGGTACCCCCCCCCCCCCGCCATATTTTGAGTTTAAAAAAAAGTTATTGATTTGAGGGAGGAGCAGGGAGAGAGAGAAAGAGACATTGATTTGTTGTTTCACTTATTTATGCATTCATTGGTTGCTTTTTGTAGGTGCTCTGACCTGGGATTGAACCCACAACCTTGGTATATTGGGACGATGCTCTAACCAGTTGACTACCCAGCCAGGGTTTGAGTTTTTTTAATTTGAAGAGGATAATTATAGAGATATTTTAAGTTCTAGAAAATTATTGAAATTTTTAGAAAGACTCAGCAAAACTGAAAAAGATTCTATATAATTTTCTGATGCTTAATCATCTTAAGTACAGGGAAGAAATTGAGAAGTTTCTCAAATGAAACTTTGAATCAACAGTACATAATACCAAATACTTAGGCATTTTCTTCTCAGTTTCCATTAAAAGTGCTTAGTTGTCCACTGTGTTAAGATTTATAATAGTGCATGGCATATTTCCTTTTTACCATCAGGGTAAGAACTACCCCAAATAATACAACTTTTAGAAAACTTGTACTGGTGTATAAAGTATCAACTTTGGTTATTTGTGACCCTGAGTAGATTTTTTTAAAACTGTGTTCTACACATTATTTTATTTGGGTATTTCTAAAAACTTGATTTAAAGCAATCAGTTGAGAAGTAAGGTATTTCCAGAGGTGATTATGAGTAATTTAGTGCCATTTGAAAAATACTTGAATTTTAAAGATTTTAGGAAAATAATCTTTTTTCTTTACTTCATTCCTAAATTTCTTTGAATTTCTTCTTTGTCTTATTTCAAAAGTAAATCTTAGTCATAGGTATGTTTGTGGTAATTAATGCTGTTGCAGGTGGCCGCTCTTTGGGTGTCTCTGGGCCACACTGGAAGAAGAGGAGCTGTCTTGGGCCAACATTAAATAGATTGTGACATGTAATCACAAAAGAACTCACTGTTTTAAGTAAATTCACGATTTTGTGTTGGGCCGCATTCACAGCCACCCTGGGCTGCGTGTGGCCACCACGGGCCGCAGATTGGGCACACGCAGAGTGAGGATTCTGCAGCAGGATGTTCGTAGAACGGTCAGTCACTGACAGTAGCTCATAAATTGTCATAGTATTTTTGCATTTCATATCTTTGCAAGATAAGAGAGTGAAATAAGGCTGTCAAAATAGCTAAATGAAACTTTTAAGTAATATTTTCAAGATTGCTTAGTAGGTCACAGGATGCCTGGAAGTGCTTGTTTAAAGTAGAACAGTTTTTACTTTTCCCCGTTAAGCTCCCCATACCATCATTTATCACTGTCACGGGTTTTCCACGGCTTCAGTGTTCCACGTCGTCATCTCTCTAGTACATACACCTGCCTGGCAAAATCTCAGCCTTGGGACGGGGTCAGTGGAGTGTTTACACCAAGGCCGACGAGCGCTGCTGGGGGAAGAGTTCACACTGCAGGTGTGGCGTCGGTGAATGCTCTCCGCTCTCACTTGGGTCCTTGCTGCCGCCAGCCACTCTCTGTTCCCTGCTCCTCTACCGGCAGACACTGCCACCTCTCCTTCTCTCCCGGTCGATGAGCAGTCTCTCTCCTTCCTGGCACTTACGAACTCTTTCAACTTTCTGCCTCAAAATCTGCTACCCAGACTTTCAGGTCCACTTTCTTCTTTCCTTTTGTTTCAAAAAAGAGATGTTTCTCTGCCTGTCTAAAACTAATTTTTCTTGTGCCCTGGATTCCAGTCATTTCCACTTTCTCAGAGACCAACACCATTTTCTCACCACTTTTCTCTTCTGCATCTACAGTATCTCCTCTGTCCTAAGTCATTCCCAGCAAATTTTAAACATACTCAAGATAATTCCCTTTTAACAAAACTTTCTTCATGACCATCACCTGCTTTCCTCCACAGGCTGATTCCCTAAAACAATTCCCTGACGACTTGCTTTACATTCCCCCTCCCATTCGATGGCAGTTGTGGAATTGACCCTCGCCCCCCTGCTGAAATTGCTCTTCCTGAAGAAGGTCATCATCCGGGACCTGTTGCTGAGTTCCAGTGGACACTTCTCAGTACTTTTCTTCCACGACAAAGTAGTGTCTGGCATTTTTACTATATCTTCTGTTTTTATTCTCTTTCCCCATTTCTAGTACA